ATTGCGTTCACTCGCTCACTAGCTGACTCCCTCACTAAGGCTTAGCTATAGCCGTACCGACGGCGACAGAGTCCTCCTCATAGGAGTCAGGCAGGAAAAAAGTAGGGAAGACATCACTAGCTGGTAACTACTAGACGACCAGACTGAGATAGCACAGACGGACAGAAAGAAGTACAATTGCTAGGGAAGCAGTAAGACTCTATACAACAGAGAATCAATGACAAAACAACATCAGCATAGACAAGGCGATAAACTAGTAAAAGTAACGACTGTACATTAAACACCTTTTAGCAGAGTAGCGCTTAAATTTATTCCTTTAAGTGTGCCAATATGAATACTTTCTGTTGCGTCTCTGTGAAACGATGTGTTACGCCGTATGTTTTCATCGTAATCGCCATTCAATAATTCTACACGTATGTGGTAATATGGATAAATACGTTTGAGTTTAATCGAACTCAGGACACATTTTCTAAGCCTTCGTGCCTAATTGTGTAGCTGGCTTTTCCTCGTTGCGTTTATTATGCCCCTGCGACTTCATATTATCGGCCGTATTGCCGTCATAAACTATCATATATTTGGCACGTTGTGAGCGATGTGTTGAAATGAATTAGCGTTCATGACGACGCGGACTAGATTGGCGCGCCGCTACTGCCGCCGCGAGCGTAAAGGAATCGTCAGTGCGGCTGTTCCATAGACGATTTTCAGTCGGTCGTTCGGCCGGACAACCTGCTGGCCAATTAAACCCAGTCACAGTCTACTATGCACACTGAAATTGTGGACATTGGCGGCCACACGGTAGCGGTTGTTTTAGCACTATAAGTAGCACTAATAATCTTCGCTTGCTCTATTCATCCATGTGTCTACAAATGCATGACAGTTTCGGGGCCTTTACAAGCCGCGTCTTACACGCCCAGTTTCCGGCACTTAAGCTTTACCGGCAGATGCTGCCTTGGCGTTGACTGTTACTACTTCGCGCGGCTACGTTAACACGTTGTCGTAGCTAGGCGCGGAGTTACGGCTGGCGGCATTCACGCCATGCATTCAGGCTTTGATGTTAACTAACAACGATTGTTGTTGTGCGTGTACATATCGCCGCTTTGTACGTAGCTACAGCGGGAGCAGAGGCGCTAGCAGCAGTGTACAGCGGCGATAGCGGCCCCTGCAATGGCTAGGCAAGGCCCAAGCAGAAACGAATCGCGGATTCGTATGCGTCGGCTCCGTTACTGTTGTTACTGCAGCATCAGCGGCGCTAACGGCGGCAATACTAGGCACCAATGGCCACTAGTTAACGCACACCTCCATAGTCACCTTGTACTTGCGTCGCTTACCACCGCTGTAGCAGTATCGCCGTAGTGATGGCTGTTGTGGTCGTGCCGCCGGCGACGGAGACCTCGAGAGTACGTTGCTTCGACCGCCCGCTGACCTACATTCATGGGCACGACGCACACAGATACACACGTACTCAACGATAAAGACCGATACACACATTCAACAATAGGCGAAAGCCAACTTCACATACTCACATCGGCTGAGCTAATCAGAAAGAGTGAGGGAGTTGGCGGATCAGTTAAACAAACCGAACGCTAAAAAAGCTTTTATAGACACCACGTTTAGACGAATACACACAATCACGCTTATGCAAGCTTCTACGCGGATGCACACACACACACACACACACACACACAGACAGACACGCCAATGAAGACCGTGTGATACAGAAAAGACGTTGTTTCTCGTCCGGAACGCGCATAGCTTCGGTACGAGCACAAAATGATAATCAGAACCGTGTAGAGAAGCGCGCATATGGACGGGCGGATATGGCTGTGGCTTCAGAAATAGACACAAATAAGGCGGAAGGGATGGCGGTGCTGGTGAAAAACAGCAATCAAATACTAGGCAGATCGAACGTGTCGAGTACCGAGAAAAGCTCAATCGGTCACGAATATCATTCTCACATGCACGATAATGCACGTACCCCTAGTAATAGAGATCTCTATGTAAGTACGCTCTTCCAGAAATAAAAACTGCTAGCTATTTCCGAAAAGGTGTAAGAGCTAAGCTTGAGTAGCTCGCCGTAGGTAACGAACTATGATTAACCACAATTTTATTTCCTATTCTGCCATAACCAATGAGAGGAAAAACACAGATAAACTACGGTGAAAAAAACAAACTATTAAAATACTATCAGTGTGGCCTTCGTGTGCGCCTCGAGCGTTTGGCTTTTTGATAAAGATTGTCAATTTGTTTCGGCGTAAGTGAGCGGCATGCACATTTCCTTTAGGATACAAATACTGTCCAATGTTTTCATTAATTCTTTTAATACGATAGGCGTGAATACTGCGCTGGTGACATTTTCACGATCACCTTGCCCGTTACCATTTCTAATCAGTAAGAAGAAAAGAGTTGGGCTTTCTCACTGCTACTATCACCCGCGCAGTATTACCACATAATACCATATCATCGCACATAGGACACAAGCGTTGCGGTTCGTCGTCACAGTTGAATAGGCAACATTGTCTCGCCTTTACGTTTCAGATAGAGGAGCACACGGATGAACAGACAGATAGGGAAACGATAGCTGACAAGGTGTGGTCTAGCTTTGCGCCCCCTCATGGAGGGTCCGATCATTTAACAGTAAATAGCAACAAAATATCCTAGCTGTTCATGCTGCTGTTTTACCTAGTCCCTTGCAGCACAGCACAGCACAGCACAGCACAGAACAGAACAGAACAGAACGGGAACCTAGCGAGCGTCCGCTAACAGCAGCGGCTGCTGAAAAGGCCCAAATCCTTGTTACCTAAATCTGATGGTAAGTGCAGACGCCGAAGCGACAGTAGCTTACCTGATGGCTCGTATTGTCACGGATCACGACGACCGCCAGCGTTGCCGCGGCCGTGTAAGTAAAAACGGGCACTAGTTTTTTGCAGCGCCAAGAAAGGTTCTATCAACAGTCTTGATTGGCCCTCCTAGGGCTGATTCAGTGGCGCCGATCATTTGCTCTCTTAAGCAAAGTTCATATATGGCTTTGCCCTTTTATGCGATTTATACGTTTTTAATCATGCTTGCCCTAGTGTCAAGCTAGCTACCCTTCCTTGATAAGTCTAGCTCGAACTATGCATACATCAATTCGTTTTTGTGAATAAATTTGCCAAAAAGATCGATGACGACGTTGGCTACTTGACGTGGACAAGGCTTTTTAGGGTAAGCGTGTGACTCTATTTGCAGGTAGCCTTGTTTGCCGTGAATGAAAATTGTAATGTAGATGTAGCTGCTAGACGAATAGATATTAGGAGACCAACCCACAAATTGGAGAGCAATAATGTTATGCAGATGTGCGTAGGCGAGCTGGTAGACAATTTGAGCATTTTATACTCCTTTCATCTGGATTTTTACTGCATGGATGCCCCTATGTGGGGGAGAAGTTGTCCAGCACCACGATATCTTGCCCACCGGTGACAGGTGAATTAGAAAATGCAGTGTTTTAATACGAAGAATATTTTTTTCCCACAAATCTGACTTTCCATATAATATCCAATATGTCGACGAACAAAAAAATAACTCTCGCTGTGACAAAACGAAATATGCTATTTCAAAATGTTGCTATCTCTGCATCTGCTATCGCACATATGCTTATTATTACTATTGTCATTAATAATGCAAACATTTTACTTTTATCTTCGTCAGTTTTTAGGACGCAACGTTCCCCTTTAATTTTTATTCACGCTTCCGCGGCGGCAGGCTGCATCCGTCGAAACCATCGTCGGTGACCCACTGGCCTAAAACTGGTCCCGCAGAAGACGACACCCGACAACCGACTGCTAGCGGCAGCGGTAGCAGTCGATGCGGAAGAAGAAGAGACGATAGCAAACACAGAGGGCTTTTCTGGCCGAGCAAATATCAGCCACAACGGCAACGTCAGCGACGACGGCGTCAGCAAACTGTTGGCGGCGACGCTGCAGAGGCGGAGTCACGCCATGGAGTCAGCAAAAGTACTTTGTTGGATAGCGGCCAACGACGACGACGACGACGGCGGCGGCGGCGGCGGCAGCGCAAAGGAGCGCCAAAGTGTAGATGAGCGGGACAAGCAGTTTTTGTATGTCGCGCAGACATTGACGTACGTTTTTCTCTCTTTATAAAGTAGCTGGAATCAATTCGTCATTTCTGGTGAAAGTAGTGACGGTCAAACGTTGACATCGCAGTCCGCAGAAGCGTTCCTATTCCCTAGTCGTCGCTATTATATATATTATTCGTTGCTATATTACGTCGCTGTGCACTTTACCTACATGTGCCCATCTCAGTCGTCTGCACACAATAGATTTGGACGTAACCGTCCTCGGTAACGGGAGAAACCGTTGCAATTGAAAGCTAACGAAAAAAAACGTTCATGCTCGCTATGGCGAAACTGCGCCGCGATTCGCACGGTATAGCCTCGGCACGAGCGGTGAACAAAATTTCAGCTTTTTTCTTTTTTTTCGATCATGCTAATAATAGTAGTAGTAACGTTAATGTATTATGAAAGCTCTTTTCACGAGAACTTGACGCATCATGATGTCGGTATTTATTTCGGCTATTTACTATCAGACGTCAGGTTAAGCCACAGGCTCGTGCTCGAACGGTACGAACGACAAAAGGATCTTGTATGTAATGTATGTTTAGACGCAAATATTTTTACTGTGTGTCCCTTTCTTAAAAGAAGTTATCCTTAAAGCATGGGATTCTGCAAACAGATTACTCCCAGCCCACGTTAATGTTACTCATTTGGTCTCTATAAAGACCATGACATGATCACAAAAACACGTGTATATATACATATATATATATATATACATATATATATATATATACAT